CCAATCTGAGAGCCTTGGGTGGAATCTTCAGGATGTTGGTCTTGTCTACCCTTAACGCCAAGTAAGCTACCTTTTTAAGGACGTATATAGAAAAATCATGAGAAGGAGCCCCCCAAAAAGGTAGGTTCTTTAGGGTCTACCTGTAGCCGAGAAGACCTACCTTTGTAGGATTCCTTATTATGGTTTCTATATATATATATATATATATTTATATATATATATATATATATATATATATATATATATATGGGAGTTTCCGAAAATTAGGGGTACCTTTTTGTGGGTCTTTATAATAAGGATCCTACTATTTAAGGTACTATATTAGGGTCCCCTAATTTTCGGAAACTCCCATATATGCGCCACAGGCAGGTTCAGGGTTGGCACGACCGGATTGGGGGCATAAGGTGCCGGATCCTTCGCAGGTCTAGCAAGAAGTTGTGGTCGAGATCAGCTCTTTGGCTTTAGGGTTTAGGGCTTATTTTAGGATCCTATAAGGTAACCCTAAAGAGGAACTAGAATGGAGACTATAGGTAGGCTCTCGGAGGACATCAACCATCAACTAGTCAACGTCAAAGCCTCGGTAGGAAGTCTTGATCCGTGGGGCCGTCTCCTCGCTCACAACCCTATAGGGTTTAGGGTTTAGGGTGTAGGGTTTAGGGTTTAGGGGTTCGGGTTTAGGGTTTAGGGTGTAGGGTTTAGGGTTAGGGTTTAGGGTTTCCAAAAAGGCCACCCTAGCTGGACTCGGAGAAGCTGCGAACACCCGCGGGTTTTACCTGGTGTTAATCGGCGATTGCGGCTTTGAACCATCAGCATGCAGGTACGCCGAGCCTCAGAGAAATCCTAACTCCATAACTACAAAAAAAAACAAGGTCCTTAACCCCGCCCCCTCCAGATGCCTCGTGCGTGTATCTCGGGAGCTCTGGACGACCCCAGATCCGTTGAAAAGACGTCTCCTTGCGAGAAAAGACTTGTAAATTGGTGGGGGTGCAGCGGTTTAGGGTCTAACAAAGGGGCCTAAATAGCTGACAATACTATTCCTAGGGTTTCTTGTTAAAGTTCTAGTATCATATGCCCCAAAACCCTATTCTAACTGTTCTGGCCCCTAGAATCATGATTCTGGGGGTGAGATCTTCGGTCCTAGGTGCCCAGAGACTCCAATATCCCTCAATTGAGGAATATACCTTAAATCATATAAGGGGATTCTACCATAATTTAAGGAATATCCTTAGTTCAGGGATATACCTTGATTCATACATGTAAGGGATCCTACCATAATTTAGGGAACATTCCTTAGTTAAGGGATATTGGAGTCTCTGGGTGTAGACCAAGGCCGCTAGTAACCTCGTAACAGCAAAAAGTCTCAGCCTCGTGAGGGCGGGATCTGTTGGCGGCGGGGGGTTTAGGGTTTAGGGTTTAAGGTTTAGGGTTTATGGGGGGCAAACCCTAAACCCTTAACCCTCAAGCCCCAAATCCCCATACACCCCCAAACTCGACACCCTAAACTAAGCTCCCTCCAAGCCCTGATCCCGAAGGTAAGGCCGTACACCCCTTGGATACTGCCCCCCATACAGAAGCAGTCATTATACGTGTACCATTATTCTCGTATCCAGCTGTTCCTGATGGGGGCAGTATCTCATACATGCCAAAAGAGCTCGAACAGCCGATGATCTTCTCATACCCCTCCGGGGCCAACACATGCGGAATGCCATTCGGAAGGAAGCGTTCCATCGCGCTGCGGTTGGTGGCCAAGAGCTCCTGCCAGGAGGATTTCTGTGCCCTGGCGGCCTGGGCCCTTACCAGCTTCAAGGTGCTTGTTAACCGCACAATGCACGCCCTCTGCAGGACTTTGGGGAGGCATGAATCTTCAGGGCATAGAGTCATAGAGCTGAGGATTGCCCTTGAATCCCGAAAGGATCCAGAAGCAACTGTAACGATACCTGAACAACTTAGGGTTCAGGGGAAGCCATCTTTGCTTACGCACTGAAGAGTTATTGTATGTTGGGTTCCGAAAGTACATGACATGTGAGCACGAACCGAAAACGACTTTGTTTCTGACAAGTCTGGTGCCCATGCTAAAATGGACCATTAGTCACACAAGCTGGCTGAACATTTCGAAAGGTGGCAACCCATCGAGGGTTGAAGCGTCTAAGCATTGTCGCTCTAGGGTGGAGGCGGTGGAGGTTGAAAGTCAACGGCTTCAGTGCTTTTGGGCTAGATGTTGTTGAGATTACAGCCGGGCCCTTGACGCCCATGGCTTCAAGTTAACGTTCTTCCTGGTCGGGTGTCTTGAAATACTAAACCTCGCAATGCTCTGAACCCCCTACAGTTACGGCGCAAGCCTTACGCTACGTCGGGGGTTGCAGGAGGCACCCCTGAGCCCCCTAAGAACGATAACCTGAAGCTTCAATCCCTGAAGCCCAATCTGAAGGCGCTCAGTCAGCTTTTTGTATCAGATGGGATCGTACTCGGATGCTTGAATCGCCTGCTCCAGCGCCGCTGGATCCACGTCCTGTCTCTTCCGAAAAACAACCAGGCTGCCTGCTGTTTCCTGGGGCTTTTGCAGCTGACAGAAACACCTACTCATGGTCTCCATTGTAGTCTTCTCTTTGTTTGACCAATTAAAGGAACTGCACTGGAGACTCTAGGCAGTCTTGGTGCTTCGATGACTAGCTGTTATATTTAAGAAAGGCTCAGGACAAAGAAACGACATGCAAGCATATCCGAGCAGCATCAATGTCGGCGAAACGCTCTATTGCACTGTAAAGCGGCCGTCGCACCCAGTAGTCGTGGACCATGACCACAGATCTGTGGATGTCGTGTGCGCTGATGGCCATGAGACTCTTGAGCGCACAAGCTGTCCGAAATCGCGAGTCGACCAGAACCACATCCCAGCGATGTTTGTAGCGTGCTGCAGCATCCAGTACTGCTTGGCTAAAGCTTGGCCACCAGCTGCGCCTCCCGATTAGGCCATGGTAACAACGAGTTTTTACCGCACACTCAGGACTTACACCCCTGTCGCACAGGCGAATTCTGTAGCGACAGCGGCTCATATTTTGCAAGGGAAACCCATAACCGACGGTGCGGCCAATGTAAACGTGGAGCAGCTTGATCCTTCGAGGAGAAAGTGAGCCATTGCTCAGGAAGGCGTGCTTCCGCACTCGATTCACCCACTTCTTGTCCATGTCGACAGAGACTATCTTTTCTAGCTGCTGGAACTCGCTGGCCACATGCAGTGTTGATGCCCCCATGCCAAACTCGAAGAAGGTGCGTGCAGCGTGCAGGTACTTCTCAAGGAGTTGCAGCTCCTGTTGGTACATGTAAACATGGCCGAGACCTTCAACCACCACAGAAACCGCCGCGGGAACGTAGCAAACCACAACGAAGCCGATGACTCTGTGGCTCATTGCTACGGACTCCAAATAGGGCCCCAGTCTGCATCATGTCCAGCCATGCATGTCGAGGAGATGCAGTTATCGTGATGCTCCATGAGACCTGTCTGGCATATGCGTGCTCTTCACAACCTAAATTCGGGCAGAGATACCAAAACATCTGAGACATCGCTATGCAGTCTCAATGAACAGTTTTAGTAAGCTTCTCCCAAGCTTTATCAGGTGCATCAGGGATATCAGGCTTCGGACGGTCTAGACTTTGGTGTAGAATGAACTTAAGGCCTCGGGCTCCAGGGAGGCTAAAATGAGGGTCTTTCGCTGACATCTGCATACAAAGCTGGCTGATTGTTTGCAGTATTTACAGATCTCGGTCTTAATTGATCCCTAAAGCTGTGGCGCATCAAACTCAGCAATGTGACAAATTCCAAAAGTTTGTCCGACTACATGGTGCAACCCTACAACAACTCGACCCCGACGTTCCCAATGCGTTTGTGGTGCCGTTACGGAGCAGGTTCAGGCACTGTTTCAACCGTGGGTTCACGGCGTGCTGCCTGGATTTATATCCGGAGTGCAAGAATCTAAGGCCTTGAAGGGTCGTAACATGAGAGGCCCTGATCAAGGTGGGGTTCCCAAGCTCTGAAATCCTATCTAAACCTTTGCACACCTGTACACCTCAACCCGTGAATCCTTGGACCCGAAGCCTGCAAACCTCTGCCCGCCCAAACCGCGCAGCCTCAACCCCTACAACCCCTACACCGCGCGAACCCTGAACTTCGAGCCTCCTACAGCCGCAAAACCGAATACCCCTGTCCTCATGAGCACCAGCAGAGGGTGGGCGACTTGACTGGGGCGTCCCACGGTCCTGGGCATTCAATGCCCTCAGGGTATGGTTCGGGTTTTTGGCTTAGGCAATCTAGGGTGTGGGGTGAATAAGGTTTTGCAGGAGAACTTATTCGTAAACCGTGCTGCAGCAGCTCGTGTTCTGGAGGCCGGAACAGGCGACTCACACTTCGTCGCCATCCGTATCATCGTCAACAGCAGCAAAAGCAGCACTCCCTTCCTGAATGTCATCAACACCATAAACAGAAAAAAAGCAACAACCCCGGCGGCAACGACAACAGTAGCAGCAACAACAATAAAACAAAAACAAAAAAACGATAACAGGAGCAGCAGCAGCAGCAACAACAACAACAACACCAACACTAATTAACACTGCTGCTACTACTGTTGTTGCAGCTACCACCACCACCAACAACAACAACAACAACACCACCACCACCACCCCCAGCAGCACCAGCACCAGCAGCACCAGCAGCACCACCAGCAGCACCACCAGCAGCAGCATCATCAGCAGCGCCGCCACCACCAAGACCACGACAGCTTCCACCTCCTCTGCAGTACCACTACTACTACCACTATTACCAATGTCACGACGGATCCTTCTCATGATCACCATAGCCTAACTCATTCTGAGATTAGCTGCTACCACTGTCGAACCCCCTGCCGTGATCACCATCAGCATCGTCACCAACATCACATCATCAGCAGCATCATCATACTAATCACTGTCGTCGCCGTCACATCTGCAAGATCACCATCAGCACGGTTGCTCTAGACTCTAGACTGTCGTGACGACATGAGCTTGGGCCGTACCTTTGTCGGCACTAGCAACGGAATCATCGTCGTCTTCGACATCACCATCTTCCTCAGTTTGCTGCTTCTTCTACTTTTTCTGATGATGACTACGTCGAGCCTCCGTTTCGAAAACCACGAGCGCCCTGAGGCCCGATCCCAATACTGCGCGCCAGAGCCATGACCAATGGCCCAGCGGCCAAAGCGCCCGCTGTCCACGACCTGCAGGGCGTCTTCGTCGCTGCTGGTGTAACCATAACCGCTAAATTGAAATTATTACTACCAGCGTGCTTTCTGAGATTCTGTCAGAATCACCATCATGACTGGTACTGGGATTTTTCGTCATTCACTGGTCCAGGTATCAGCATCTGCCCTCTCGTCTAAGGTGCACCATCTTCTGTTGGTAGTAGTCTACTAGGATACCCAGTAACCTAGGAATAAAAAGGCCTCTCTTTTTGGCATTGGGTAACTTTATAAGGAACCTAGGACTACAAAAAGGGAATAAGGGTACTACTGGGCATCCTAGTCTATGAAGGAGACCCTTTGGCGCGCTGGAGTTTATAGGGCTGTGGTTCGTTTTGAAATTGACGGTGACCATACTGAAGTTGTTGAAGAAGTCGTTTTGCGAGGTCATGCGATATGCTCCCCCCCAAAAACCGAACATGCCTTTCGCCCTAAGCTTTCAGCCACGAAGCCCTCAAACCGACAAACACCTTTAGGCCTAAACTGTAGATCTTGGACCCCGGAACCCTTCCTAAACTCCCTTAGCCCTGGAGCCCCCCACATGCTGCTAGACGAAACAAACCGACCTTAGACAAAACTCAGAAAGTTGAAAGCTGTACCATCATTTAGGGTTTGGGGTTTCAGCATGGATCCCCCTCAAGCCGCGTTATGAACCCCACAATACCAGCACAACGCCTTTGTACCCTGTAAACTCTCCAGTGAATCCTTTATGGTTAAAACTCTCCCGACACCTCTGTAAACCAGAACGAGACCCTAAACACAAACCCTTTAAACTCCAAGCCCTACCTATAGTCTCCATTGTAGTTCCTTTTTTTGCTTACCCAATCATATAAATAGGATCCTATAAGGTGACCCCCAAAAGGAACTACAATGGAGTCTATAGGTCAACTCCAAACCTGAACCCAAAACCCTGAAATCTCACTCGAGTAGTGCCTTGCCGTGGTCCACCATCTGGCGCGAGTAAGGCGGCCTGGGAAATCGTGTCTGCCCTTTTGGGTTATTCAAGGTCTGTATTGCGGTTCTTGAAGGGTTCTTCAACTAAAGGGTTTCTGGGTACGTAAAGGACTCTCTCAGGGTTCCGTGAGGCTTTTAGAACTTTAAGGTTGTAGGGCGTATGGTGTCTGGTTTGTGGGATATATCTTCAGGGTCCTAGCGTTTGGGGCCTGTTGCGGTTCTTCAAAGCATGAGGTATTCATCTTTCGGCCCCGAGGTTCATTGTGGTTTGGACCTCAGGGCGTGAGGACCCTGACCAGGACATCGGGATGTTGCGCCCTCCAACGAACCCTAAAGCTCGAATCCGAAAGGCGCAACTTCAAGACGGATCATGCCGCACAGCCTCAGACTTCACCCCTAACCCGCTAGCCTCAGCCCCCTAAGCCCTTCCGTGTAAGTGCCAAAGTAAGTTGAGCTGGATTCTGAGCCAATTTGAATGAAGCATAGCTACGCCGGGACCATCAGGGAATAGCCGCAAGATCACTTTTGGGCGGGGCTGTACTTCAAGTGCAATACTTTGAGTCCCTGGTACCCGTCAGCCATGTAATGTCACTTCGACCCTAAACCCGAAACCCTAAACCCGAAACCCTAAACCCGAAACCCTAAACCCGAAACCCTAAACCCGAAACCCTAAACCCGAAACCCTAAACCCTAAACACAAGACCCTAAACCCTAAACTGACTCGGGCTCCGTCTCCAGCATCCCACGCGGTCCGAGGATCAGCTTGGCAGCCTTGAAGTGACTGAAAATTGACTGGAAGCCTGAAACCCGAACTCCAACAAAAACCAAAACCCTGAACCCAAATCTAACGCCCTGAAACCTGCATATTCCCGAAAACCTCTGCAATGACTCGACCCGAAATCCCGAAACCTTAAGCCCTAAACCCAAGGCTACGCCCTACATCCTTAAATCCCTAATGGGCAGTTCTCTAAACTAGGGCCTAGGGTCCCCTTTGGGGTCCTTTCTCTAAGGGTACGGTGCTAGAAGGTACCCAATTTCAGCTTGAATTCAAGGGTTTGGATCTCGGCTCCAAAGTTCGGCAGAACCTGCCAGCCTGGAACCGTAGGGGATCTGGGTTTTTCTGCTTTTTCGGAAACAAAGCAAGGGGTACTCCCGGACCCCCCAGCGACAGTTCAGGGTTTGCGGTTTAGGGGTTTTGTTATGAAGGCTTTTCGGGCTGAGTTGGTGCGGTTTGGATTTGTGGTGTCCGTATTTAGCGGCCTTTGGGCTTTTAGGGGGATGAAGGGGTTAGGGTTTAAGGTTTAGGATGACATCCAAGGCCCCTGCCGTGGAGGAGGGGGTGAAGCTGACACTGGTGCTTGTCTGCATTCGGTCCATCAGCATGTCACAGCCTGCAGCAAACAGTAGACACCAAGATGACTCAAAGAGGAGTTCCTTTTGCAGGTTCAAGCCTCATTTCAAAAAGGCTTTAGACTTGAATCCCTTACTTCAAGCGTTGCAGTCAGGCAGGCCCATTGTACTTCAAGGAGCGTTCCCTCTTGGACAAGTACGGGAGCCCATGAGAATATGTTAGGATAGTATTTCACAGGATTAACGGCAACAACGCCAATAAGCGTCATAGCAACGATAACAACCGTAAGAACAGCCATGGTAACCAGAAAAGTAACAATCATAGTAATACTATCAGGAACTGGTGATAATGATCATAGAATAGTAAGAAGAATGATACTGGGAACAACAACAAGCATTATCATCATGTAACCCCCTAAACCCTGAACCCTAAACCCTAAACCCTAACTCAATCCGGCTATCGGCTCAAGGTTCAGCGTCCTGCTACTTCCAGGGTTGGCTTAAGGTTGAATGCTTCAGTTCCTGGGCGACATGTTCGGCTCTGCAGTGGGTTCGGCAGCGGGAGGCCTACTACACCTACACTGACAGAGATCTGATCACTACGGCCAAAGCCTTAAGACGCTTAAGACCCTCAACTCTCAGCGAACACAACGACACACCTTCGATTTCGCAAGCCGTGGGATCACGTTCGGGTGCATGGACCCCCTCAACGGCACTCTCACCCGAACCACCTCTTGCGAAACAGTTCAAACTTCTCGCTTCGCTCAGCAGCCCTGTTCAATTCATCACTTTCCTCAAAGCCCAGATGTGGCGATTTCCTAAACCCTAAATCCTAAACCCTATGGTATTTGGATTCAGAAGGGCTTCTGAAGCCGTTGATGCGTTACTGAGTACTGATGAGCCGTCCGAGAAATTGTTCCACAGAGGTCGGAAAGCCTAAACCCTTCAGTATCCACTACGGCTACAGACATGCCTTACACCCTAAACCCCAAACCCTCAACCCTAATCCCCAAACCCTCAACCCTAATCCCCAAACCCTGAACCCTAAACCCCAAACCCTGAACCCTAACCAATACACACCAGAAAGAGCTTCATCGACGCCTGACTTGGCCGCAGTCATCCTGGACCATGCCTCCCCGACGAGGCTCGGGAGGCTTGGAGCACTGCAAACCCTAAACCCCTAAACCCTAAACCCCTCAACCCCTAAACCCTAAGCCCTAAAACCTAACTCAATCCCCTGAGGGTTTAGGGATTATGGTTTGTTTAGAGTTTAGGGTTTTTTTTTCAGGGTAGATCCTGAGCCCGAGCTCCTACTGCATTGGGCATTTAGATCAGGGCTTCCCTCATCGCGGCTGCTACATGGGAGTTTCCGAAAATAGGGGACCCTAATACGGTGCCTTAAATATTAGGATCCTTACTATAAGGACCCCAAAATGAGGTACCCCTAATTTTCGGAAACTCCCACATGAGGTCGGCTGGTTCAGGGTGTCGAGTGAAGTGTTGAGTGTCTGCGCGTTTGGGTATGAGAGTCAAAGTTCAACCCTAACCCTAAACCCAAAGCCCTAGAACCCTAAACCTGAACTCTAAACCCTAGAACCCTAAATCCTAGAACCCTAAACCTTAGAACCCTATACCCTAAAACCCTAAACCCTAGGACCCTAAACCCTAAACCCCACCAGAACTCAACCCTAGAACCCCAGAACCCTAACCCCAAGAACCCTAAAATCTAAAAGCTAGAACCCCAAACCCTAGAACCCTAAACTTCAATGTTCGGATTTCGGGTTACTGAGTGAGAGGTTCGGTTCAGAGTCACCGGTGTCTCAGACCTTAATGGTGTTAGTAGCATCCTGGAGAATGATGTAGAATATTGCGGTTTACGCTTCAGGGTGTAGCCCTCTACGGCAAAACCCTAAACCTGATACCCTGTACCCTGGGCCTACATGCATTGACATTGGGGCCTGCTCTGAAAAGGCGTCGTTGGGGCGCAGAGTTGTCTGAACGTCCGTACTGTAGGAACCTGATTAAGAAACCCTGGGCCTATAACCCCAAAATAGCAGGACCTAATAAAGGCCCAAGGTTTCTTAAGCCGGTTCCTACATTAAGCAGCCACGCCCGAAGCCGAATTTTCGAAGAATTACCGCTCCGGGCTTCCGGTCTGCGGGACCCCAAGCCCGAATCTGGGTTCGGTTGTTAAGGGATTTAACCTAAGTATACAGAAAACAGAGTATATTATGGTATATACTATAGAGCCCTAGTATGGTATATATACTATAGAGCCCTATTAGGGTAACTTAAACGAAACTCCTTAACAAGAATTCAACTCCCAAAGCCCTAAACCCTAAACCCTATAAACCCCTAAACTCTAAACCGTAAAGCCCTGAGCCCTCTAGAAAACTCCAATGTCGCGGCTCGGCCTCAGAGTTGTTCATGGCTTCAGCCTCAAAAACAAAGGCTGTCTGGAAGGGCCTGGGGGTTTAGGGGGTTTAGGGGGTTTAGGAAGTTTAGGGGGTTTAGGGTTTGAGGTTTGGGGTCTGGGGTGTGGGGTGGGTTTAGAGTTGAGGGTGTTGGGTTTAGGGTTCAGTTAGGGGCAAGCAATTAGAAGAGGGATTGGGATACATTACAGGTCCGTTGATTGCGATAAGGAACCCTCAAAAATGCATGGTATCTCCAAGTAATCCAATTATTCAGGCTTGTGCACTTAACCGAAACCAGTCAGACACACAACATCAAACCACGCACACACACACACACACACACCACACACATACATACACACACACACACACCAAATAAAACAAAACACTCTGAGCAGTACCCAAAAGAGCCGTATCGCATCTATGAATTCTGTTACAGGTGTAGGGTGTAGTTGGGGCTTAGATAGAGTCTAGAGAACTTAAAGAGTCTTGAAGACTCTGTTCAGATCAACATAGACTGCGTGGCTCTAGGTCTTCCAAGTTAGGCTTCAAGGTTCGGGAGGACTCTGAGTTTAGAGGTTACTGCTGCTGGGTCAGGAGGATAAGTGGAGACCTGGGTGTTGCTGCCTAGCGGTGGAGTGCTATTCTGTACCGTTCGGACTACTGGGTTCTTCGGCATGAAATGTGGTTTTGGGTGTTGGGTCGAGGGTCTAGCGATTGCGGACGGTTTTGAGGATATTGGCTACATATTACCGGCTTTTGCGTGCTCTTAGACGTCACAAATTAGAACAGGATTCGGTGGTAAATTCTACTATAACAGTAACGATCCCCTGAGAAAAGTATTGCTAATGATCTCGGCTGCTACATTCAGGGGACTGTGCCATGAGCAGGGTCGTGAAAAGCTGGGTTCCCTCACGTTACCATCGCTCGCCTTTGGATGCAGCACCAGACAATGACGGTTTAGGGTTCAAGGTAAAAAGCCAAATGGGAGTTTCCGAAAATAGGGGTACCTTACTCTGGGGTCCTTATAATAAGGATCCTACTTTTAGGGTACTATATTAGGGTCCCCTATTTTCGGAAACTCCCAAATGCCAATAAAACCCATGCTCCGAATGCAGATGCGCATCTGGAATATGCCAGCTGAAACTCCTAAAGAACCCTAAGCCTTAAACCCCTAAACCCTACACCTTAAACCCTAAACCCTACACCCCGAGCCCTAGACCAAGAGAAGCTAAGGCCGGGACAGAAGCACGAGGCCGGCGCACTAGAGATGCCAATGGATGGTTTTGGCTGCAACTCCCACAATGGGGTCCCCTAAACCGTAAACATTAAACCCTAAGTCCTATTCGGCAGAGAGTTACCAGGGATGCCTGCTAACTTCTTGCACTCATGAAGATCGGCTTTTAGCGCGAACATGCCTTATCAGCTGCGGCCGAGCCGAAGAGAGGGAGAGCGACCATGCTGCGGTTTAGGGTTTAGGGTTTAGGGTTTATATAGGGCTTGGGGGGTTTAGGGTTTAGGGGGGTTTAGGGTTTAGGGTTTGGGGGGTTTAGGGTTTCGGGAGTGCAGATGTCATTTTCTTCACAGAAGCCACGATGCGCAAGCGACCATGCGACTATGAGTCGACCCCTTGGCATTTACGGACTTTGAGTCGACGGGAAACGGGTTTAAGCCTTATGGGAGTTTCCGAAAATTGGGGGTACCTTATTTTGGGGTCCTCATAAGAAGGATCCTACTATCTAGGGTACTATATTAGGGTCCCCCATTTTTGGAAACTCCCTTATAGTAATCCTTAGGTTATAGCAATCCTTAAACTATAGTAGTCCTGTAGTAACCCTTATACTATATAGCCATCGTTGTATTATACTAATCCTTCTAGTAACCCTTATAGCATAATCACCTTTATAGTAGCCTTTGCAGTCACCCAACAATCGTCTTCATACTGCTGATGGACAAAATCCTGCATTACCCATTATAGGGAATATACCATAGTTCCCATAGTTTGGAGTCCTGAGGGTCATGCAGGATTTTGTCCATCAGCAGTACTAGAGCTTTATTCAGGAAGCCAGCCAAGGCCGAAAAATGCTATGCTCAAGGCCTCAGGACAGGTCACGACCATAACACCGGTGCTACCAGAAGCAAGGATGCGGGTGACGAACACGATGACGGTGATGGTGGTTGTGGTGGTGATGGTGGTGGTCATATTGATGATGATGGTGGCCTCGGCACAGCAAGCCCATCAACTAACAGAAAAAGCACGAAAAGCTCGTCTTCAGTAGCCATTGCAGAAGATGCAAGCAACCATTTCCACAGATCTGAACCTTCATTCGTCAGTAGCAACTTGTGACCTCGTACCCAGAACTGCGATCTGAGAATCTGTCTAGGGTTTAGGGTTTAGGGTTTAGGGTTTAGGGTTTTGGGTTTAGGGTTTAGGGTTTAGGGACAGCTTAGGGTCAAAGGGCAGGCAGGAAGGCCTGGAGGCCAACACCTCTTAGGCCTTCAGTCACGCACGAAATCTTGTCTTCTCTCCCCAGTCCAAAAAGTCCCCCCCAGGTCTTCAAAACCTTCGGCAAATTGCCTCGGAAGGTCTTCGGCCGTAAAGTTTACCACAAAATATCT